TTTTTTTGAGATGGAGTCTCGCTCTGCTGCCAGGCTGGAATGCTGTGGTTCAATCTCGGCTCACTACAACCTCTGCCTCCCAGGTTCAAGTGATTCTCCTGTCTCGGCCTCCCGAGTAGCTGGGACTACAGGAGCACGCTACCACGCCCAGCTTATTTTTGTATTTTTAGTAGAGATGGGGTTTCTGCTATGTTAGCCAGGATGGTCTTGATCTCATGACCTTGTGATCCACCCACTTCGTCTCCCAAAGTGCTGGGATTACAGGTATGAGCCACCTCGCCTGGCTGCTTTTTTTTTTCCAAGTTTTTAAAAGGCCATTTTCTTCACCTTTTCATTAGGAGAAGATCTGTTTCTTATCCTGTGTAGCAAGGGATATATGACTCATACAGTGAGTCAATAATGTCCTGATAATTGTAAAAATGGAGGATCTTTGTTGAATAGGTGAAAGGTTAAGATCTAAGAGAAATTAGTGAAATTATTGTAGTGAAAACCAATGGTTATTTTTCACCTTGCCCCACAAAATAAGATTCAGGGTCACACTGAGTAGTATAGCTACATTTTTACAAGAGGCGTCTAATTTTATGCTTTTAATAACTTTCATAATTATGTATTTTGGAATAATCAAGTCTCATGCTTTAGAGCATAGCCAATTACTGTAGCCTTCAAGAAGTAATTTATTTTCTCATGTATGCTGCTCACAACTGGATAGCTCCATTACACATTCATGAATTCTAGTGCGCATTGTTAAGGGCTGGTAAGTACAGGCCACTGGATTTGAAGGGCCACAGACAAGATGACAATTCTTGAACATCCTGGTCTCCTGCTTTTATCTATTACTTAGGAGTTCTAAGGAGCACAGGGCTTCTGTGTTTCAGTAATGACAGGTACACTGCTGCTGAAAACAGAGCAAACGAAAGGCTGGGCTAGAGGAAGAAAAGACTCTCTGTCATCCTTCAGCTGCTGCAACAGGGCTGCTGGGATCGCAGCACTGGCTTGCATTGTGCACGCCCAAAGATCAGACTGAGCATCAGCCCCTCAGACCACAGGTTTTCCCAGAACCAGGCTGCATAAAAGAGAATGAGTCTATTAGCCTGATCAGAAAAATTGAAGGCATATTTCTGATGTGTAAAGGAATTATTGTTAAAGACAGGGACTTGTTCTGTTGCCCAGGCTGGAGAACAGTCGCATGATCATGGCTCATTGTAGCACTGACCTTGTAGGCTCAAGTGATCCTGCCTCAGCCTCCCAAGTAGCTGAGACTACAGGCACGCATCACCACACGTGACTACTTTTTGTATTTTTAGCAGAGATAGAGTTTCGCCATGTTGCCCAGGCTGGTCTTGAACCCCTGGGCACAAGCAATCCATCTGCCTTGGCCTCCGAAAGTGCTGGGATTATAGGTGCGAACCACTGTGCTCGGCCAAAAGATTATTACTAGGACCCAGGAACATACGCTACTGTGTATGTTTCTGGTGTGCTTTGTATTAAGGAACAGAATTCTTCCTACTTACTAAGACCAACCCAGACTGAAGAAACACATTCAATCTGCAGGGTAAGTTTGAAGCCAGTAATCATGTGAAATACATGATGCTTGTTTTCAGTAAAACTTTTATAAAGTTTTATTGATTCTGAGAAGCAGGCAGAGGCCATCCCTACAAAGATCTATGCTTTCCTCAGGTGATTAAAATGAAAGAGAGGGGAGATCATATTCCATGACCAAAGTTCAGTCATCCTGTGTTAGGTGTTAGGGTTTCTCTCTTCTTTGCCATTTTCTTTTTTGAGACACAGTCTCACTCTGTCACCCAGGGTGGAATGTAGTGTCATGATCATAACTCACTATAGTCGCAACCTCCTGGGCTCAAGCAATCCTCCTGTCTCAGCCTCCTGAGTAGCTAGGACTATAGGCATGAGCCACTATGCCTGGCTGATTTTTAATTTTTGTAAAGATGGGGTCTCAGTATATTGCCCAGGCTGGTCTAGAACTCCTGGGCTCAAACAGTCCTTCTGTCTCAACCTTCCAAAGTGCTGGGATTACAGGCATGAGCCACCACAGCTGGCCCCAATTTTTATGGATAAGGAAAAAGGTCTTCTGTGTATTGTCTTCATTTGGTACTGTTAAAGAACAGGGCCTATGACTTTGATAAACCAGTGGGGAAGGACATGGTGTTATTTTTTTTTTATTTTTTCTTTTTCTTTTTTGTTTTTGATTTCTAGGACATGGTGTTATTATACAAAATAAAATAAAGTTATGGGCTCTGCTCTGTTACCAGTTTCAGACCACTTCCACAAACATTCCATCTGTGCCTTTTCACCTCAACCTGTGGGAGAAGTTAGAATGATCTCCTGTAATAGAAGAAGACACCAAAGCTCAGAGCAACTTAAGTAAGTGACTCATCTATGGCTCAAGCACAGTGCTGCTGCTTCCTGATAAACATGGCCTTTGCTGGGGGTGCACAGTAGAGGGGCAGCTCTGTGTCCAGGGAGCAGAGGGACAGAGCAGGTGTTATGGGGGACTTTGAGCAGCATCTGCATGGTGTCATGGCTGGTCATTTCCCTAGCATCTGGGCCCAGTGGGAAGGAGCACCCTCTGACCAGGTAGGATGGCTTCATCGCCAGTAGAAAAGGTAGTAGAAATTAGCCTGAAATGAGTACACAGCCACAGGAAGGACAGGTAATACAAAGTCCAGCTAAAAGGTCCTTGTTTAGTCACAGATAAGCTCCTGCCAGTTTTCTTTTATAAAACCCATCCAGTGTGTTTTTCATCTATAACCCAGACATTTTTATTAGGGTAACTATTCACTGAGAAATAAAAGCCATGTTACCTCCTTACAGAGCCTCTAAAATAGGATGTTATAAAGTGAAAGAGGCCTTCTGATGGCTTTCAGACCCGTAATGCTATCTAGCACTCAGAAACTGACCATGGGCGGTGACCTAGGGAAACTCCCCCTGCCTGGTACTGAAGTTCTGCTCTGCTCAACGGCTCTAGGAATCCCATTTCAGTGTCTGATGATGAAAATGATTCAGTTGGAACTAAGCCCTCAAAAATTAACAAAAACAACTGTCTAATCACTTAATTTGAATCATTAGTTATATATTTAATGCAAACATTTTAAAAGAACTGCAAACTGGAAATAAATTTCCCCTGAAAATATTTAATGCGATTAAGTCCCGGAGATGGTGCTTTTTACAAAAGGTTTGTCAGCAAATGCTCTTTTTTGTAGGGGACAGGGCAACAACGGAATGGGGACAGGCTATCAGTCAATTGATTTTTATTGCAATAAGAGTAACAAGGAATCCCACCCCTCACATGCCCTTTGCTTTATGTAAAAACCTGTCCAGCAGAATGAGCTACAGTCACCCCCAGGAGGTGATTTAGCCCCAAGTGCCCAGAGAACAGGCTCAGGCCATGACTTCATGCTCCCTCACTGTGCCCAGAGCCATATGCCAAGACCAGGAATTCACTTTCGGAATATAACTTGCTCTTTTTTTCACCTCTCAAAAAACAAAAAGACTTCAGTAATACAGCCCAAGAATTACCATGTGTCTAAAAGGAGGATAGATTCCCATAAACAATGCTGTCAGCTTGAATGAGGTAAACACAGGAAGGCACACAATAAATTAAAGCAGGCCCTGACTCTTCAGAGGCTCTGTGGTGATCTCTGGGGGGGGCAGATCTGCCAGTGGCTGTGTTTCCAGCACTGACACAGTATTGAGGACTGCCCTGGGGAAGAGGGACCCCTCCTTTAATAAGTTACGTTAGTATACAGGTTGCAAGGTTGACTGGAGGAGAAAACCCTCCCCTTCCTATCTGGTGGGGCACAGCCCCTCTAAAGTGATGTGTGCTTGCACACCGGCAAGCCACAGCCAGGTCTGCACAAATCAATTTTTTTTTTTGTTTTTTTTTTTTTTTT